GAAGGCCGCGATGAACCCGGCGAGCGCGGAGCCAAAGTCGTAGAGCCGAGCGCCCATGGCCGCGTCGAGCAACACGTTGGAGGCTTTGACGTCGCCGTATATCCCTGCCTCCAAGCGCGTTGTTGCACCGTGCGCCGCTCCGTCGAGGTGTTCGTCCACGGCTTCGGCAGGCAATACTACTCACCTTAGATGAGCTAATCGGCGGCGATGTGGCTAGGATACCAGCAGGAAGTAGCAGGGACAAAGGGGCGGGCGTTGGTGTTATGGCGAGTCGACGACGCAGCCCGGCCGGCTTTTCTAAAACGCGTTTTCACAAAAACGTCTGGGACCCGTTTTTCCAAAAACTCCTATTTTGGGTATTACGAGAATCAAATTTTGCTTATCCACGAATTAGTTATATTAGCCAAACAGAGTTTTAAGTTTGTTAGAGCCTGAAACGGGTTTATATATAACTGATTCTCTACAATGCCAGTCGCTAGTATAGGCGCTTACGAAAAAGAAAATAATGATCATAAAATTAGAAAAATAAGTAAGCGCCTTGCATTCCAACGGCAGGCCCTAATTGCTTTCAATAAATAACGAACCTGGGCGCTTCGCTCGATGCATCATGTTGCGTCGACGCCTAGCAAATCACCAGGATTTCCTAAACTAACCGCTAATTGGTCGGGAATCCGATCCTGGCGCTCGTTCTAAGCGTCCGCGTTGGACATGTCCTAATCGTCGGTGATTAAAGCGCCATTAATTGCATTTGAAAATTTAAGCTCGTGTGAGTAGCAAACAGTCGAATTTTTTTTTGGGGAGCGGGGTTCAAATCTACTCATCAATTGTCGAGGTAATACAAAGAACATCAAAAGTAAAAAATACATCCAAATTTGTAGACCACCAGAAGTAAAATACATCCAAGTCCATACACCATCCAAGCACTAGAACGAGTAGAAGGCGAGTCGCCGTCATCGCCCCTCCCTCATCAGAGCCGGACAAACCTAGATAGTCGAGGAGTCGTCGTGCTAAGACTCTATGGGACCAAGCGCACCAAAACAGCAATGACCGTCGATGAAAAGAAGCATAGATTGGAAGAATCCAACCTGTAAACACACGAACACGATCTAACGAAGACCGGATCCATGTGGATCCATCAAGACAAACGCGGATTGAATCCCACGAGATCCGCTGAAGACAAACATCCACACGACCACCAACGACGCTAGAAGCACCACCAGGACGGGGGCCACGCAGTGAGAATCTTATTTCATCTTGAGAGAACCGTTGTCGTCTCGTCTATTTGAGCAGGACACAAACTCTAACAAAATTAAAAAAAACATTTAAAAATGAAGACCTCTTGCAAAGGCCGAGATCCACCACGCCTCCATGGTCTTAAGACCACAGAAGACGAAATAGACCGGCGTCAGCGTCGGCGATGGGAGGCACCGGAAACCAAAACTTAAGTGCCCTTTGCACACGACAACCTTGTGGGAGCAAGAGCGGAGCATGGAAGCATTGGCTTGCAACTTCTACTCGACAACAAACTTACTGATCGACCGTCTCAAAATCCAAAAAAAAAAGACCATCTCAAAATCTGAACCTGAAAATAGCACATACTACAGTGATCCGTTGGTTGACTTGGTTCGATCAATTCAAGAGGTGAAGAGGATTAAAGACAGTTTCCGTGCAATTGCGCGTAATAATACCGTGGTTGATAGTACATCAGTACATACAAGAGTGCAAAAACTTAGTTTATGGAAACGTCGTCGTCGGATCAAGAAGTCACGATCTTATTGATGTCACCAAGGAACTACTGCTGCTACAAATGAAACTAGAACATAAAGGCACGCGTTGCCGCGCCCGTGCATTTTATTGGAAGAACAATACAAATATATGAGAAAATATGGACATAACAGAAAGAGAGAGAAAATACATTAGTCCAATACTTCAACATAAATGATTGAGCATTATTGAACCTTTCGCAAGCGAACAAGGCACAAAGGAATGTTTTGGGAGGATGGACTGATCTGATGCGTTCATACACTGAATCAGATCCGCAAGTGATGAAAGGTACTATGTTGATTATGTTTGTGCTTTTCAATAAACAGTCAAAGATGACCCACAAACAAACATAATATATAGACACAAGGTAACAGTATAAAAAGGATGAACACATAAACTGTCGTTCACTTAATTTCTTTAGCATATCACATATAATCAGCGGGAAGAAATTGTTTAAAGTAACATTCGAAATAAGCGTCAAGGACGCAACCTCTTTTCTTTTCTTTTGAAAAAAAAAGAAGAGAGAGACTTCTACCTTGTATATTCAAAACTGACCAACGGTCAGGAATACAAACCACTGAAGTTTTTCTCCTCACTGAACATAAAAGCTTCAACAGAAAAGAACAAATCAAAGGCAATACATAATGTGGTTGGAACAATGAAGCGTGTAATATACAGAGAGATGGATGTGTAGTGAAAAGGCTCAATTATCTCTATTATAGACATGAATATTACATAGAAGGCAACATGGTAAAGAAAAAAGGTAAATAATGAAGTGTATTATAGCTCCTGTAATCTCTCTTTTTGTCCCACAAGTTATAAATAGTTGAGGAGTAGCAAGGGGGAAACCATATATCTTTAGTTGGGAATAGCACCAAACAAAAGGAAGTTATGTAAAGCTGGATTGTATTAAAACACCACTCATCTCATGGAAACAAACATCATATGGAGTCCATCATAATTAGCTTCAGTTCATCAAAGTGATCTAATAAACCTGGTAACTGCAGAAAATTGCCACCTGCGATTACAATAGTATGGTCAAACTTTTTGGTAGGGCACAAAAGATAATTATCACATCAAATTCCTGGCAGTATACTTCGCTTTGGAAGGCCGTGTGGACTATAGCATGTATTGAGCTCTACTTTCTACCACAAGAAGCTTAGACAGTGGAAAACCATTAGGGCAAGTTACTTACCGTGATAAATTATCCATGAGATGTCCACATTTTTTTTTTAAAGTTGTACGCTCTCCATGTCAACCTATGGTCTGCTAATATAGAGGAATAAAAGAAGAGATGGAGGATATGAATACAATGAACCTGTCGCTTTGGCTCAAGAAGCAGTAAAGTAGTAGCTTCTTCTTTTTAGACTAATTGATTCTTGGTTTGGTGTTGTATGAGCTTGCTACGTGAAGTTCGTTCTGTAAACTTTTCTTTAAAGATTAAAGGAGCTCCTGTCCATTGTTTAAAAACATTTGTTATAAATTTTAGAAATAACATGTGAATGGACAATATCCTCTGAGTATAGTTTAGAAATTTTGAGTCCCTTGTTGTTTATATATCAACATATCTACATCAACGAAAAATAAATCTGGATTTCAGTTTTAGTGAGGAAGTGCAAAATATAGCAAACAATCAGCTCAAACAGTAATTATGAATTTATGATGCTGTTTAAAAAAATAGTCATGTTCATGGTTGCACCATTTGGATATTTGCAAATGTCCTACCATTCAACACAAAAGAGATGGATATATCTTTGCGTCATCCTAAGCAAATAAACAGTACCTACAATTTTGTTGACAAAATGCAGTTATATATCAATGTCCTAGCTTGCAACTATAGTTAATTGCAAATGTAACAGTAAGCGGTCTAGATTATGTAGCCTTATATTGTATTGCAGACTTGCAGTAACATCAGTTAAGGGAGCCTTTGGTTCTAGTAGTATATATCCAATCATGAGTTTTATTTCTTTTGCCGCAGATATCCAACAAGATAAAAAAAACAGGATTGATGGAATTTGGAGATATTAAACCAGGAAGAATTGATACGAAGAATGGTTATTAAATCATCTAGCCAAACTAATTAAAAATTTCATCTAGCCAACCATATCTGTAACACACACATCGGACAAAGATGGTCACGGATTCTAGACTACTATAGAGGACAAACACTTGATAAACATATTTCAACAGATCAAGCAAAAATTGGTTCTCCGCAAGGAATAATTTAATAACAAGTAGCAGCTTTGTTTTTTGAAACAGAGCAGCAGCTTGCAATCCATGGAAGGCTGGCACACATCAAATCAACCAAGGATCACGGAACTGGAGCTGCGTTCAATATAGTGCTGCTAGGTTTTGGGCATCAACTCCTTGCCAATGGAAGGGTCAGTCGCTACTTCCAGCCTGAACGGGGCGCCCCATCTACTCCCTTAATCTCCATTCTTACCTCCTCTCCTATCTTGTTCATCCACACCCTTCCAACATACGAGTAGAACCTAAGGGTTAGGTCGCATGCACCCGTCGTCATCCTATCGGTGAAGTCCTGTCTTTTTTGTTGCGTCCCTTCCGTACGGAGCGGCCATCGCCGCCGCCTGCAGAGAGAGAGAGAGAGGTGTGTGTGGAAGGGGAGCAAGCGTTCAGGGGTGTCGAAATGAAAACAACAACAAGGGGCTACAGAAGAAAAGTACCGCACTGGCGCGCATGCTGTCGCGCAGCAAATGCTCGCCCACGGTAGAACGCCGGTGCATCGAGGACGAAGGAAGCCGGCGCATAGAGGAGGAACAAACGGCGGCGGCGGCGAGGAACAAAGAAACTGTTCGTCTGGAGAGGAGGGATAGCGCTGGAACATGTACGACATGGGCCATCCAGCTGGATAGAAGTGGGCCTTCGACGGCCCAAATAAGGAGAGAACTATCAGGTCGTTCTGCGGAGAAGCGGCCCGCGAGACGGTCCGTGCGACACGGGCGACCTGAGACGACCAGAGTTGATCTGCATCGTAGGTTTGAAGATCCGAGGGTTGAGACAGTCAAATCGCCGTGGAGGCTCTTAGCTAGCTGAGTTATACTGTTTAGTAATTGGATCTTACGGCGATGATGGCAAAGGGGCCGCCACCACCTTCAGTTCCGTCGTGTCATGTCCATTGCCATCGGTGAGCGCGCAAATCAAAATTTTGGAATCCACAGTTGTTCTGCTATACATTTTGCTCATGCGTGTATGTTCTTGTCGCCGTCGCAGTTGGTATGGTGCTGAGCTTCGGAGCAACCGTCGCCGTAGTCTACGTCGTGTACAGGCACGTCAAGAAGCACGACGTCCCCGCCATCAGCATCATCGCCGCGAGCGTCAAGACGGCGGGGATCACTACTGGTACGTTGCTGCACGCGGTGGTGCCGGACTCCCAGATACGGGACGCCACCGTCGAGGGGTTCCTCAAGGAGATCGCCGGCGACAAGCCCATCCGGTTCACCGCGCGGCAGCTCTGGGGGTTCACCAACAACTACTCACTACTCAGACAGGATTGGCGCCGGGGGCTCGGGAAGTCGGGAGTCGTGTACAGGGGCGTGCTCCCGAACGGACTCCCGGTCGCTGTGAAGCGCCTCCACGCCGGCCGCGACGACGGGAGCTCCGAGGAGCGGTTCATGGCCGAGGTGAGCACCATCGGGAGGACCCACCACGTCAACCTCGCCAGGCTCTTCGGCTTCTGCTTCGACGCCGACGTGCGCGCGCTGGTGTACGAGCACATGGAGCCTGGCGCGCTCGACGCCTACCTCTTCGACTCTGCCGCCGTCGTGGGCTTCCCAACTCTGTACGGCATCGCCGTCGGTGTCGCGAGGGGCCTCCGGTACCTCCACGAGGAGTGCCAACAGAAGATCGTGCACTACGACGTCAAGCCCGGCAACGTGCTCCTCGACGTCGGCCTCGCTCCCAAGGTGGCCGGCTTTGGCCTCGCGCAGCTGATGAACCGGGCGGACACGCACGCGACCGTCTCGGGGATGCGTGGCACACCCGGGTACGCCGCGCCGGAGCTGTGGATGCAGGTGGGCGTCACCGAGAAGTGCGACGTGTACAGCTTCGGCATCCTCCTGTTCGAGATCCTCGGCCGGAGGAGGAACTTCGACGAGGCGGCGCCGGAGAGTCGGCGGTGGTTCCCGAAGCTGGCGTGGGCCAAATACGAGTGCGGCGAGCTCGCGGAGGTCGTTGATAGCCGTGGCAGCGCGGAGGAGGAGAAGGGCAGGGAGACGGCGAGGAGTATGTGCGAGGTGGCGTTCTGGTGCGTGCAGCAGCTGCCGAAGGCGAGGCCGACCATGGGCACAGTAGTGAAGATGCTGGAAGGGGAGATGTACATTCCTCCTCGGCCGAACCCGTTTCAGCATCTCATGGCTGTGCCGGAGGTGGCGTGGACGTGAAATGGTCGAGCGAGCACCATTGTTGGGAGTGGTTCAAGACGCGATCACTCCATGGTCGCCGTAGATAATTGAGTACGATTTTAGTTTTCTGTTTGTCTAATTCACATCTAGATGTTTTTTAAGGATGTCACATCTAAGCTTCCATAAACATATAATGCCGTAATAAAAAAATTAGGACAAAAAAAATTAACCACAAACAGAGTGGACATCAGTTTAGATGTGACATAACTATATCATATCTAGATGTGTCTTTAGTTTTTCAATCAAAAGGCAATAGCTTAAGGACCCCACTACAAATCTCATGTCAGATTTTTTTACCATGGGCAAATCAAATTCTTTGAGGATGGCAAGTTTAGTTGGGTGACAAATTCGTCTTAGTTTATCTCTGTCAGAAAATTACTGTGCTTGCAAACTAAATTTGTTATCATCACACCAATGCAAATTGACATGAAAAATGTCAGATTTATCGTGCCTAGAAATTTGACGTCATATTTTCAGTGTTTTCATACAAAGTGTGTGTCTATATATATACCAATTATGGCATACATGTTAGTACAATGTCAACAAAGTACCTAAGACATCGAGAACACACATAGCCAAATTATTAATAGAGAAAAAAGGGACAATACACCGAAAAAAGACATGCTAAGAGCATTTATAGCCGATCCCTCAAACCTGGTTAAAGGAGTAAAAATCTGGTTTTGAGGGGTTAAACCGCACCTGGCTGATCCCTTATCACCTTTAGAGAAGGAAAAAAAATTACTCATCGCCGCTGCCGCCGCTTATATTTACTCGAGTAGGGCCATTTCACCGGGGGGAAATCCCTTCCAGCGTCACCCTTCTTCCTTATCCGCACCGCACCAATGCCCAAACCCACCCCAGACCCCCTGCCAACGCTCTCGCCTGCCACCACAGCCACCCCACACCTCATCCCATGATTCCAACCGCCCGACGCCGATGGCAGGATCTAGCCATCAGAGGACGCTGCCACTGATTCGAAGCACGGATCCACGTCACGACGCGCAGCTGACCCAAGGCCGCCAGGGCGCCCCCCTCCTGCTCCTTCGCCGGCCTACCACTACCGCCGCCTAAGAAGAAGTACCATGGTGTGCCGCAACGATTGTGGGGGGGGGGACACGGGTGTCCAAAATAAAGGACACGGACATCGGCGTCTGGTACTGGTTAGGCTCCTTCCAGGTGATGGAGCTGGTGGCGAGGGTGCACGACAAGAACACGATGGCCCTCTACAATAGCCGGGCGAAGATTAACTTCCTCATCAGTAGCCGTGAGGTCCCGACAGCCGCTGACAACGACCCCTAATGGGTCTCCCATCGCGAGTTGTGGGGGAACTAGGAGACCTTCAATAGGTTTGAGGCAGCGCGCGCCGATGAAGACGGCATGGCCGAATTTCACCGGATGTATCCGGAGCTCGTCGCCGAGGAGCGCTGGCGTCTCAAAATTTACAAGCAGGGGGATGCCGATGAGGACGAGACCAAGTCGTCCAATGGGGAGACCGGACCGGAAGTGATTGAGCTTTTGTCTAGCGACTCTGTATCCTGCTTCGGCTCTAGTCTGGGGGCATGAATTGAGAGAAGATCATGGCCGAAATAGAGGACGGAGAAGATGATTGATTTTTTTATTATTATTTTGTTCGAATCGACTAGTTTAAATTCGTGTTGTGCAATGTAGTTTGAACCTAGTTGTGCTATCTTTGGTTAGTTTGAATCAAATTGGGCTATCGATGCTCAAATTTGTGTGATTATTTAGAAAGCTAAATTTAAGAGTTCGTTAGGATTTGTTTTTTTTAACGGGGCAAATGTAAGAAGTTAAGATATAAAGGGGCAAAATTTATAAGATCGGCTAGGTATGCTCTAAAGCTAGTACACCAGCAATAAATGACACCATTTAGCACTGCCACACCCCACGACAAAGGTTCATTGTTCTCCATTTTGGAAATAATTCTAGAGGGACAAACTCACATTAAGGAGATCCATGAGGGGGGAGGGGGGGGTGCAATTCTAGATGATTATATTGTCTTTCTCCAAGAACATGGAATTGATGCTGGAATAGTGAAGATCCTACACATTTCCACAAAGCCATGCACAGTTTGAACTCGCAAAAGTGATTGAGGCCATGAATGAGGAGTTCAAGCCAATGGTAGACGATTATGTATGAGATATCGTCCCGATGTGAAAAGGTGTGAAACCCGTTGGTTCCAAATGAAAATTTAAGACCAAAAGGAACTCAAAAGGTGACATGGAAAGATATAAGGATTGTTCTTGTCGCAAAGGTCAATACTCAAAAGAAAGGCATTTACTATGAAAGGGACTTTCACCCCAGTTTCATCGAATGACTCTTCAAGAAATATTATGGCACTTGTGGCATGTTTTATTCTTGAGTTACACAGGAGGATGTGAAGGCAATGTTTCTCAACGGTGACACTGATGAGAAACTTTATATGGTGCAACCATATAAATCAGAGATTGGACACTCATGGACGGTAGGATTCACCAGTGAGGATCCAAGTGTGTGCGTTTCCTAGAGTTTGTGAGGTTTGGTGGTCACCTTAAGGTCTACCACTAGTGAGCCCTCAAAAAGGTCTACCACTAGTGAACTGAGATCATACTTTGTGTGCCTAGGTTCAAGGACAAGAAGGTGTGACTTTATGTCGTGGGGATACTTTGTGTTCCCCACATGCCACAACTATCCAACATAGATTAGCTTTCCTTAAAAGGAAGTGATACATCCGAAAGTGCCTATATGAGGCCGAGCGCACATGGCCTCTTTATCTTTCTCGTCCGCTTGTATTGAGATCCCCAGTCCAGCACACATAGTCTTAGGTGCAGTTATTATATTTCAACTAACCGGAGTCCATAGACCCACATTATTTGACCAACGGTAAAACCGACATCGCCAGGCATCAGTTTGCCGGCTCAGATGTTCGACCACGATATGGGTCATCCAAAATGTAACCTGGACAAACGGCGTGATACATCTTATTTTCCAAGTGTTCCAATTAATTATAATCCTATCCAATTCACTTGTGTTATCATTGCTTGTTTGCTCGTTGTATAGATGCCACATCTAGTTGGATATTTAGAGAATTACTTTATCCACGTTCCCTAAATTTCTTAACAAAAGTTTAAAGTTTTGTACTCGCCTATTCATCCTTGTTTAGTCGACATCTTTGGTCCTACAATGATAAATTAATACATTCTCTTATTCTCAACATCGAGTATTATGGGATGATAGCCTAAAAGGGTGTGCAAGCATGGCGTCGGAAAGTTTTTGCTAGTATTATTATGTTATTGGTGAATGATTACGTTTACTCGTCCAATCAATTGTTGGATCGTTCGGGTGCATCATGTGCGCCTCCTAATTACTACATCTTCGTTTGATCCTACAACTCTCTATCTTTTCTCGTCTCTCCCAAACAACCGCTCAATCACGTGTCTTCTTCTCTCGAACTGTTGTAGGGTGCAACCCTATGTGGAGATCTTCACGAATTGGAGGGGAAATCTCCAAGAACACGAAGAACACAAAAAAGGGGAAACACTCAAATTGACTAGATCCAATCACGCATATGCTAGATCCAAGAACACACAAGAGGTCACAATGAATCCAAGGACAACAAAGGAAAGATAGAAGGTACTAGTTCATCCCAATCCTATGAGGAGAGAGGTCTTGATGATCCTATGATGGGGATCCTTCCCTAGATGGGGTCTTGATATCCACAAGAGGATCTTCTCCTTACGAGGTCATGATCTCCATGGGAGGAAGATGAGCAAAGCTCTCTCTTTGTCTATCCAATACTTTGCTATCCCCTAAATGAGCTAGGTGGGGGGTACTTATAGTCTAGGGACAAAATAAGAGGGGGAGAGGGATACAAGGGGAAAAGCCCAAAAAGGCACACATGCCCTCGGAGAGGTCCGGGCACCCGGTGCAAAGGGGTCCGGGCAGCCGGACCGGTCAGGGACCAACACCTAGGTTCGGCCGGACACCCGGGGGCGAAAGGGCCAGGCACCCGGCATGTACAGGGGCGCGGCTGAAAGGTGGCTGGGCACCCGGGGTGGCGCCGCGGTTGGGACAAGGGGCCGAGCACCCGGTGGGCGGCTGGGCGCAGGAGGCCGGGCACCCGGGGGCCAAGGCCGGGCACCCGGGGGTGGCTGGGGGTAGCGCCCGGGGTGGTGCGGGCACCCGGGCCCTCCACGGCCGGGCACCCGGGGCCGACTGGGAGCGGCGCCAGGGGAAGGGCCAGGCCTCCGGGGCCAAAGTGCCCGGGCAGCCTCCGGGGCCAAAGTGCCCGGGCAGCCTCCGGGGCCAAAGTGCCCGGGCACCCGGGGTGTCCAGGGCTCCTCCTTCTTCTCTCTTGTCGTGCGTCTTTCTTCCTTCTCCTCCTTCATAGGTCTCTAGTGAACTTGGTGGTCCCTCCGTGCTTTCTCGTGACGATCTCCGAAGTACCTAAGAATGCATAACACGTCTCTTTGAGGTAGAATCCCATTCTCAAGTGAATCCGGAGGAAACTCGAAGAGGAAAGAAGTGACCTCGGTTTCGATGGTGCGTGCACGTGCTCTTGTCATTGGTCCTCGAGATGCTTGACGAGTTGTAGTAGAGTCCATGGGGATGAGCGAGGGATGCTCCGCATCATCTCCCCCCCTTGGGAGAGATCCGTCCACGGATCATGATCTTCATCACCATGGGAAAGAGAGGGCGTCGCCGTGTAGAAGTGGGCAACCACCAAGTACTCATCATCCTCAAGCTTGAAATGGGCACTCTCCAATGTCGCACCGTCTAGTGATTCCTTCAAAAGGAACAAGTAGAACAAACACTTGGAAAAACAAATGTGGTTAGCGTTAGAGCAAAACCGAGCATCCAAGAGGTGATTCACCAAACAAGTGTCATCATCAAGCATAGCATATGGTGTGACGAGGGAGTGTGGTATGGCATGTAAGCACATAAATTGGGCACATGGAAAAGCATCATGGAAACAATCATGCAAA